AAGATAAGAATGTATTGGTAACCTCAGTAACAGATAAACTGGTATAATAAACTGTTTGTTGGGGACACTAACAAAGAACTCGTATTTTGGATCTAAAGTTTCTTTTTTCAGAGAAGATTTCTTGTTAAGCTATCAGGTAATGTCCTGTGAAAGAAAATTGAAGTATTATGATACAACAACAACAACAACAACAACAACAACAACAACAAGGTGTTCAAATCCCACTAAGTGGGGTCGGCTAGAGAAATGGTGTTATCTAACTTAGCAAAGAGCCTGGCTACTATTTTTTGCTTTACTTTGTTTTCATCTTGTGTTTTGCTTGATTGTAAACTGCAGATATTCAAGTGAAAACTATGTCATAGTTGAATGTGTATCTTTTCCAAAGAAAAGAAACAGATAAATTTAATTTGAAGTCGATATCTATACCATTTTAGTTGTGTTCATTCTTGTTTACGCTGTTGGACTGGGATGCAGGTGAGATTTGCCAGACAAATGACATCTGTTAATACCACATTGGTCAAGCACAAGATAGTCGATAATCGAGCAACGCCATCCGGTACCAAATTTCAAACTTCGACTTCAAAATTCCGACATTGGGGTAGAAAATTGCCATTTGTTAGATATGGTCTTCCTATGATCTCAGTCACTGTTTTTGGAGCTCTTGGACTTGGCCATCTACTAGAGGGAAGGTTAGTTTTGAAGTTGATATGAACCCAAAGGAAACATGGCTAAGACATATGCTTGACAATTGCTTGGCTGCTGTCATGCTTGCTAAAATTGGTTCGTTTTTATCTTTAATACAAGTATGGTGTTGGTTATTTCGTTGGGTGCTGTGCGATTACTATATAAAATGTATGTTCATAATTCATACTACACGCGGCTAAATGTAACAAATTGTCATCTTCTTCCAAGAAAAACATGTTTTTCTATCTTCTTATATGTTTGCTCTGTGATGCATCTAATGTTACGTATCTTTTATACAAAACTCAAGAAGGTTTTGGTAGTAGTTTTGAAGTTCTCTAAGGTCATTGGTGTCTTTTGAAATAAGCCTATATATCTCAAGGTAGTTTATGTGAAAATCCATCAAGATTTATTATGATGCTGAATGAGAAATATGCAAGAAAATTATTGCGTTTGCATATAAATCCCTTGATGAAGTGAAGTTTCTTTCTAATTCAGTAAGGAGATAGGTAAAGTGAAGGATGACCAAGAATGGGAGATTATCGAGACAAGAAATGCCCTATCGAGAACGGGACCTGTTGATGCCTATAAACCTAAAACAATTTCACTGCAGGAAGAGCTTAAGGTAAAGCACAACTATTAGTAACTATTAGTAACGTTATTATTTTGAAACGATCTATTTTGATGAGGAATATGTAGTGAATCTGTGCCTAATGGTGATTTATTGTGCAGGCTTTACAAGAAAAATATGGCATAGGAAATTATGAATTCAAGAAAATTCCGAGGCCCAAAGAAAGCGTATGAAGCCAAGAGTCATTTAGTGCAGTTCTTGAACTTCTGATTTTATTTTATGGGGAAAAAAGAAAAAAGAAAAGAAAATGTGCGATTTGTCACCCAAAAGAGGGTTTAGTGACTTGATCTGTAGTATCGCATCTCTATCTGACTGATTAAAGCACTCCTCTAAGATTTCTCTGTTCCAGGTTTTGCAAACTTATTAATCAATTATTAGTTATATTCATTCATCACAAGTTCAATTTACAAATTTGTTAATTATCAACTAAAAGAATTGCACATCTAGCAATTTTAAATTAACTGTTCTTAAGTCAATACATAACTATCCACACTAAATGCATCATCCAAATTTATATAAATGAATACCACTAATATAAATATTCTTTATTTCCATTATTTTATTATAAAAAATCCACTATCCCTATCAATTATTTACCATGCATTTTTATACAATCAATTAATAGAATATACTAGTTCAACTGTTTGTTTATTTATTTTACGAAACAGAAGATGTGTTTAAAAGCTCGAAAGAGAGTACAAAGAGGTGTGCACACAGGCACAAACCTTAGCTAACAACAAGTAGCTAAGTGAGAACAGGGAATAACCCCACAAAGAACTAAACAACACAACCAACAGACTAAAGAAAAAGAAGAAAACGGGAAGAACTATATACCCAGGAAAACACAAAGTCTATGGAAAACCCAACCAAAAAAAGAAAGCAACACAAAAAAAGGAAGGCAGTTGCAGCAATGAATAGTAGGTAGTTACTCTACCACTGAACTCAGGAGTTCCGAGCTTAGCAACCACAAATAGCAGCCCTTAGACAGCCAGGAAAAATTTACATAGGACAAGAAATTAGATAGCTTGGGGACTTAGCTCCTCAAACTCCATCCATTACCTCCAGGCCTGATTTGTAATATCAATTTCAGACTTCCATATTGTTGAAGATCCAAAGATTCCTGCACTTCCTTTAATAATGGAGATTTCAGTCCACCAGGCTTTGAAGGTTAGTGATGGACACTGAAAGTCTGCCCATTCAACACCTGCAAGCTTCCAAACTTTGACAACTCTTGGACAAGAAAAAAATATGTGTTCTAGGGATTCATCAGAGGTTCCAAAAATTAAATAATAAAACATCCCACTATAGTAATATTATTGCTCTCCCCATCTAGCTCCAATTTATTCAATAAATCAAACCTCCAAATAGTTAATTAATATTAATCTAATTGACCGATTTATCTCCCTATGTTTAAGATATAACGTCCATCAATTAATTTAATTCCTGACAATTAAATTAAATTGACTTCTTTCATTTTCGAAATTAGTACCACTCAGTTCATTAATCATTATGCCGGATAATTATCCACCTGCAGGGTTTGACATAATATTCCTTCCTGAGCTCATTTCGGGGACGTCATCAACTCAGCGCACTGGGACATAGTGACTGTAAATAATTTATAACGACACATCATATAAACACTCTTACTTAACAAAATAGCGAGTATGTCATCCTAATGGAATAGGAACCACCCTTGGTAAATTAAAAGTAATGAATATATGTGCCCGTTTTATATTATCTTGCAGCTTAAGAGAACGCATCAATTACTGAAGGTCTTGATTATAACGACGATCAGTAAATCTTATAATCTTATCCTTTCGTGGTCTGTTCAATACTTATCATAAGTACTAGTGTAATCCATCAGTCAAAGATCAACTGAATCAAGACTATACTACAGTCTTTTTCCAATAGGAATCTCACTGCCTGTCTAAATTATAAACATTAAATTTATATTTTACAAGGAACTGATCATATGATATTTCTGTTTGACATGACGAACCATATTATCTACAATGTAAAATAATGGAGTTATGATTGCATAAATAAAGGGTTTAATGCACCAAACCCCCCTGTATTATACGAAATTTGCGCGTTTCCCCCCTGTATTTTAAAAATTGCGTCAGACCCCCTTCTATTAAGGTTTTGTATGCGCGAAACACCCAAAATCGTCTAAATTTTGGGTGTTTCACGCATACAAAACCTTAATAGAAGGGGGTCTGACGCAAATTTTAGAATACAGAGGGGAAACGCGTAGATTTCGTATAATACAAGGGGGTCTTGTATATTTTACCCCATAAATAAATAAATTGCAAACATAAATACTTTGACTAAAACACGATTGCCAGAACAAAACGGTATTTTTCATATATGAAAGCCAAGCTTTTACAGTACATCTAACAATCTCCTACTTATACTTAATAAGCTCATGGCTATCACTAACCACAATTCTCTTTCAATCTGATGGAGATCCTTTGAGCACCAAAACCCGATGGTCTGACGGGTTTGGCCTTTCTCGATTCTGATTGAGTCACACTTAATCACGAATGGATCACCAGATCGGGCTCGTCGGGCTCGGGTAAGTTGGATTAGGCTTGGTTCACCGAGTTGACTCGGTTGGACCCGAGTTGACTCGGTCAGAACTCGGCTGGGCTGACTCGGGCTCGGCTCGGGTCAACTGATCACGTCTCGGTCGGGTGCAGCGGTTTCGGTTGCGGACAAGCGTTGCGGCTCGCTAGCTGGTACAGGTCACGGTCGGGGCGAGCGGACACTGGCAACTAGCGTGCGCGGGCACTCGACGGGACGCGCGTACGAACGAGCAGNCAGGGGCATCGTCACGCGGGTTCGCCGGGACTGTGCGTTAGGGCCTGGCTGTGCACGGCTGCGGGCTGGTCGGCGCTGGCTGGGTTCCGGCGGCGTTGGGCAGCGGCAGCGTTTTTCGGTGGTTGTCGATGGTGACAGACGGCGGTTATCGGCGGTAGAGGATGGCCGGAAAAATGAGATCTTCAAAGTTTGAGATATATCACCTTAAGATCTTCTAACGGATTACCTTAACACCTACTTCGACTAATCTTGGTGGTGCGATTAATTGAAACTCCCAAACTACTGAATATATGTAGATCTAGATTTTCCTCTTCCTTATGGAACCTTAAAATCGAGCTCTTGCAATAGTAGGGGAAGAGGTTGAGACATGGTGTATTTATAGGCTCCATTAGGGACCTTAAGGAGGTGTTAACTATGGGCTTATCCCATTAGGTTTAGGAATCCAAATCATGCTCCATATCCTTTCCCATGTAGAAGTCTTATTCCTCCTAACCGCCATCACCCTTCTAGAAGACTCCACAGTCTCCTAACCCTAGGTTGATTATTCTAGAAAGAATATTCCTCTCCTAATGGAATCTAAATTATGGAATATAATTAATTTCTAAAATCTTAATTAGAATTAAATAATAAAGGATTAATTGCCAAATAAACTTGACCTTTTCACTTTTGGCAATTTAATCCAAACCTTTGGATAATTGCAATATAATCTCCGCCTTGTCTTACTTTTACAAAATGAACTTAAAACCCGTCAGACGGCCAAAACATGCCAGCGTGTCCGGTTGTTTGTATCTACGTGTAATTTTCAGTTTGCTTAGTAAGATTAATTAAAATACGTGGAATTTCACATAAACCAGTATAAAAATCGATTCCCTTCCCCAATTTCACAAATTCCCTAACCCTAAATTCTCCCTAACTTACTTTGAAGAAAAATTCGATGTCGACGACAAAAATCAAACCCTACAACTTAAATCTTCTCCCTGTATTAAGAATCCGCAACGAAGTGGTCCCAATTGCATAAGAGTTTGTGTTTCTGCGTTCGAGATTCATTCTAAGGGTGCATTTGACATTCCTTCTGAGGGTGCGTTCGAGATTCCTTCTGAGGGTGAGTTTGTGTGGGAAGGCTGATCCACGCCGAGACCCTCGGAAGGGGAAACGTGGAGAGAATGACCGATGCGAGGAGCACCCTGTCGCTCAGGGCAAGAATCCGAGGTGCCATAATTGTGGTTGTTATCACTCAGGACAACGTCGTTACACTCAGAAGGTCTGCTACAACTGTCAGAGCCCCGGACACTTCTTCAGTACGTGCTCTCGTGCCCCGAACCCAAGAGGCAGCAGCCCTATCATCAGCCATTCCAGCAGCAGCAACCCTATCAGCAGCAGCAGCAGCTCCCACCACGACACCGTTAGCAGCAGCCAAGACAGCCCCCAGCACAGAACCAACAGAGGGCAAGAGGCCAGGCCCGAGTTTACACCATCACCCACGATGCGGTGGTGAACAATGTAGGTACCATGTCTGGCATGCTTTCTATATCCAATGTGCCCATTTTTGCATTGTGTGACACCGGAGCCACCCATTCTTTTATTTCTTCTCGTTGCTTGGAGGCCTTAGAAATTAGTGTCGTGTGCAAAGTCGATCCTCTCGAGGTTAGCTTAGCCTCGAGAAAAACTAGTATCTCTGATTCTATGATCCGTGGACTGCAAGTCGACATTGGAGGGTGAATCTTAGAGGTTGATACTTATGTGATAAATATGTGCGATTTCGATGTAATCATTGGCATGGACTGGCTAACTCGTTATCAAGCCGACATCCGATACCAGGAGCGAGAAGTTATGTTTTATTCCGACGACGATCAGCCTATCTTATTCTATGGAGCCAAGTCCAGAATCGTACCCCGCGTCATTTCTTCCCTTAAAGCGATGAAGTGTTTATCCAAGGATAGCTATCAAGGCTATCTCGTGAGTATGGTAGGAGAGGATTCAGAACGATCTCCGGAGAGTGTGTCTATCGTATGTGCGTACTTAGACGTGTTCCCGGAGCAACTTCCTGGAGGACCACCGGACCGCCAGGTCGAGTTCACTATCGACTTAGTGCCCGGATGCGATCTCGTTTCGTAAGCCCCATATCGTATGGCGCTGAAGGAGCTTCACGAGCTCAAGGTCCAAATCCAGGAACTGCTCAATCTCTGTTTTATTCGACCGAGTGTTTCTCCGTGGAGAGCGCATGTTCTATTCGTGAAGAAAAAGGACGGATCTATGCGCATGTGTATCGACTACCGTGAGCTTAATCACCTTACGTTAAGAACAAGTATTCCCTTCCCCGCATCGAGGTTTCGACCAGCTGAGGGGAGCCAAC